GCCCCCCTCCTCCCCTAGTTTACCTGCGGAGCGATTTTTGTTGTTGTTGTTCTTACTCATTTTCGGTGTTTTCAGGTGAAGCTTGCGGTGCGCGAGTACGTACCTCGTTCGCGTTCGTAGGAGGTGCTGGGAAATGAAGAGCTTTTGGGGTGTCCTGCGAGGCTTTGTGGTGCTAGTCCCCGGTAGTTCTTACGGAAACCTGCGAGGAGGGTGTGCTTGTGTTGGAGACTCCCCCCCCACCCCCCGAAAATGCGCCTCGGTATTTACAGCTGAGAGCTTGCCTGTCCAGGCTTTATCTGTCGTGAGAAACTCACCGTAGTGATTTAGATGGCAGTAGCAACGTATTTTTATAATCAGGTCATCAAATACAGAAATATGATTTACTGATGTAATTTTTGTAATTTTCATAAAATTCATAAATAATAATGATGTATTAATCTGTTGGGAAATGCTTCTAAAAAGTTTTTAAAACTCTGGCAGATAGGACAGGAATGTCTCTACAGCCACCCTGCTTTAAATAGCCCTTTTTTGCTGCTGTAACCACGCCGCTCTCATTGCGAGCGCGCATCCCATGTGTGGAGAAATAAAGTAAGCGATAAGCTTGTCCTTACAAAGAAATATAATCGCGTGACCATAAGACTTCTTGAATTACTTAGTGATTGTCTTGACACTCCAAAAATATGAGTTCATAATTGAAACAATGAAGAATGTCACGTTGCTGTGTTTTACGTGATAACGGGAAGGTCAGGCTCTTCCACAGAAAAAAATCCCTGGCCTTCATAAAAATGAAATTGCTCACATATGTGGAAAAATTAACGTGACTTAGAAATCATAATTCTGTTCCCTGCATGTCTTCCGTGTTCCCATTGAGTTTTCCTGTTTCAACATTTCTTAAAAAAGTTAAAGTTAAGAGAATTTGTGTTTGAGTGATAATTTTCTTATTTTCATCCCCATGACATATTTCCTAGGGATGATGTAAAATGAACTGTATTTGATACATTCTCTTAAGGAAACGGGTAAAAAAACCTAATTTGCAAATAAAGCCCACTGGGAAGGTGCTGTTGGTTTTTTTTAGTGAAATGTGACTCTCTTACCATGAGTTGTCAAAAGAGGGGAGGAAGACGGTTAGAATAACTGCTGAATAAATGAAAGATGTATGTCACATTCCTGTGTGCCTGTGGTCACAGGAAAAGTGCCCTTTAATTGTGTGGGGAATCTCATAGCAGAGATTTCATAAATGGAGCAGGCTGATCAACAGATAAATGACCAAAGAAAGTACTTTCTTCTTTGCTTTTTAGGACTGACTGAAATTAAGTCCTTTTCTGCTTTCACCTTCAAAAGTCTAAAACTAACATTGGGTCTTAGGCAAAGGGAGTGATTTTTGGCCATTGAGCTGGTAGGTTAGCAGACAGTTACTCAACAAATGTGTTATCCCCAAGCCATTTTATTATCAGACATTAGAAAGATCAATCATATTAAATTCTGGCGATGTTAACTCTAAAGTTGATTTGAAGCTAGATCAGTATTGAACCACATCTTCCCTGTGGGGGGTACTGTAAAAATCTTAGAATGGGACTTGTTAAGTAGAACAGCTTGTATTTTTCTATTGCTGTACTAGTAACTTTGGTTATTCTATAAAATGTTGCTCATTATTTTAATGCTACCTGTAATTATTTCAGGACATAGTTAAATATGATCGATGCCTTTCTGGGTGCTTTGTTTTTTAGAAGGGGACAACAAAAAGCTGAAGGATGTTACTCAAACTGAATCTGTTGTCTGTATTTGTTGTAAGTTGCACCCTAGTGGTTTGAGTGGGATGGTAAACATGAACGTGGATTGTGGATCTGGGCCATGAATTCTTAACATTTTTAACTAACCTAGATTGGCTTTTTTCTTAACCGCCATATTGCGGTAGCTCTCATCTATGCTGTCCCACTAGCCTCTTAGAAATTTGGTAAAAGAGCATGTCTTCACTTGTTAATTTCCATTGCACTCAGCAAACTTTTGCTGTCTGGTGTTGCGCTGGGCTGAACCTGTCAGTCTTTGTTTTCCTGTCTGCATATTTGTTTCACAAATGATGTCAGGTGAGCTTTGGAATTACCGCTCGTGGGTTGTTGGTGTCAAAAAGCCAGGAGTGAACATAAAACGTTGGCACAATTATACTTATATTGTTGGCTTGCCAAAGCTGTAGATGCTGCAAATCAAAGTCTGATAGTCTAGAAAACCTGATACCTGGTTCTTCTTCTACCCGGCATTTCTTTTTAAAAGTTACGCTCACAAAGTTACAATGTCGATGACACAAGGGTAGGGTGGAAGTCATGTGTGTCCCTGGTTTTCCTCACTTGTTCTTACTCTCAGTTAGCAGGTGAAGGAAATTGAATCACAGCCTTTTCCCTGCTAGGGGAGTTCTCTTTCATTCTGCTCCCCACTTTCTCTCTGCATAACCCAATTTGTTTCTGGAAATTACTTCTTCATCCTTAGTTGCACGTTATTCTGCCACTGTTTGGCATTGAGTCAAGGTTCTTCCTGTTACGATTTCATTTCCATTTTAAGGCATCACTGCAGCAGTGTTTTCCTGTTGGAGGAGGCCTTGCTGCAATTTCGATGTGAGCCTGCTCATTCATTTGGTCGAGTAAACTTGCCGACAAATGGTACAGTGTGTTGTTTCTTCACGAATCACTGCATAGCGAGAAGAGTATGGGTACAGTATTCATAATTGCTTCTGGAGGTTAGAGGCAAAAACGGTGCCTGTTGTTTTTCCCTTTCAATCTCTACAGTGTTCTTGAATTTTAACAGATTAGTCTGTAGTTCTGTCCTTAGGTAGAGTGCATCATCTGTGGCCTAGGAGGAGCAGGAGTGAGTGGCTACTTTATACATTTGCTGCTGTTTCCCCAGGGATGCTGAGGAAGTCCTATTGTTATAAACAATAGCAAGAGTACAGCCTGTATAAGTTTGTCCTAGCGAGGAACTGGGTGGTACTTTGCCACTGCTATACAAGCCTCACTGGGCATGACTTCAAGGCTGGAATCCTTAGATGATTGCCAATGCCACCCTCTGTTTGGCATTTGCATGCAACAGACTGCAAAGTAAAGCATTAAAACTTTATTTTGTGTCAAAAATACTGGCAAAAATATGATAATGATTTGAGGTGTTTTAAAAGTAAGGAGCAAGTGTGGAAATGAGGAAGTGAGGGAAAAAAAGTGATTCAGGGGGGTAATAGAGAAGGCAATGTGAAAAGAAAGGGCAAGAAAAGCAGTTTAAATTATAACAACCCTTTGGTTGTACAGTGGTTTTAGTCTCAACAGATTACTGTTATTAATTTATATTTCCAACCTAGTTGTTATGATTTGACTGCCATCTGTACTGGGCTGCTTTGATTTCCTTCATAGTAACCCTGTAACACATCAATCGCTGCAATGTGACAGGCAGTCATGATTCACTAAGTGGTGTACAGGTACAGGGATAATTACTTATTTACAATCGCTACACTGTGAATCTATAAGTATGTTGACTATAATTAGTTGTGTACGGACTAACAGGGAAGCCATTTGCCAGCTTTAGAGAATCATACACAGCTCCATTTCTCCTAACTTAGAGTTGCCAGTGATTACCTGTTTTCATTTATTTGAGGTATTTTTCATGTTTTCTCCTAACAATCCTTTCCTTCCTTTTAGTCCAGTTTTTCTTCATTTGAAATCACTGTAAGAAAAAGTTGGCCTCATCTATCACTTTCTGCACAGCACAGCACAAATTCAGTTCAATTTCCTATTTATGGGTGTGGTCTTTCTTTGTTTGCCTACATGGAGGAAAGCCAGTCTGTTTCCCTTTTTGTTGTAAACAGGCATGTTTTAAGAGGAAAGAGCCTTGCTAAGCTAATGGGAAGAAAGAGCAGGGGGAAATGGAAATTAAATAGGTGAGAAAAGGTGGTATTAATTACCTTATGAATCAGCAAGCTCCAAAGTTGAGTTTATTATTAGTATATCTTGATAACTGACTTGTAAGCGGGAAGCACCTTCAGCTTCAGCAGTATATGGGGAGCATTGGTGTTCTCAGAAGAACAAAGATAGCAGCCAAATCAGTGTGAAAAGCCCGTGTGCAAGGATTCATCATTTTTAAACGCATTTCATCGTTTCAGATTTCTTTAGCAAACATGAAAGCATAACCTGCTTTTATACTAAGTTTTGAGGGGTTTATGTCACTTTCTCTGTGGCTTCTTGTTCTGTATTTGCTAGTATATGGCTGCATGATGAATTAACGGTGAGGAGCCCACTGCACAAAAAGTAGCCTCCACAGATGTGTCTAAAGAGTAGGTTATATTTCACCTTGACCTTATTATAGACTTCTTTTTTTTTTCTTTTTTCTAATTTATAATACAGACACAGCTCACATATTTTATAGAAACTTTAGCTGCGTCTCGGGACACTATTCTTTATTGGTAGAAGGCCTTGCAGACCTGAAACACAAAACTGAGAGAGGAAGATGAAAGGCAATACAAAGTAGCATTTTTTTAAGACAGTTGACTACCATTAGTCTAAATGTTGTTGATTTGTCATCTCAACAGATTTAAAGAAAGGCTGGAAGAAAAACAGTGAAGTTGCTGCAGATATTTGCAGGTGGTTCTTCTAATTGCTTTTGCTTGGGAAGAAGAAAATGTTAAAGCTTGTTTGAAGAGTTGAAAAGAGTCCGTTGTTTGCAAACAGAGAAAACAGGAATCCTTGTTGTGATGCTGAAGAGCGGTGCTCTGATGAGGTCATGTTGTAAAGAGCCTTGAAAGTGAAGTCAAGTTAGCTTAACTGATGTGAGAGGCAGTTGGAAGAAGTGAATTATAAAACGGTAAATTTAGCGTCTATGAAAACGACTTTTCTGCTGTGTTCTGAATGCCTGTGAGCAGAACACGATTGCCATTTTGAAGGCAAAAGGAAGTGCTGTAATGAGCAAAAACATGAGCTGTGAGCTTGGGCAAGTACAATGGAAAGGTGGCTTTCAGAGGGAAGGTACACATTCAGCATGACTGGAGTTAAGTATTTAGGAGAAACTGGAGAGATCTAGATCAGATGAGATGCTGGGCTATAGAAGAACAGTGGTGATGGCCCACAGTAATCATGAAAGAGATATTTTAGACGTTTTGAGCAAGAGCTTTAAGAGGCCTGTTTGTTGTCAACAGCTGGGATTTCATGGGAAAGTATTGTGCAGCTTCAAATTTGGACAGACAAATTTTTCCTTTCATATTTGCTATGCTCTGTTTAGGACTTATAGTTGTTTTCCACAAAAATGTGTCATGAAGAGGACTAAGACTGAAAGTTTTAAACAAGTTTCTTGTATGAAATGCATTGCTTTAAAAATATCGTTACACCTAAGATCTGTGAGGCAAAAGCAAGGCAAACCGCGACTGGGGATAGAAAGGTATCAACCCTATTGGCCTGTTTCCTCAGCAAGAGAATGGCTTTTCTGAAATCAGATGGGAAACAATACCTCTTAAATTCTCTCTGAAGCATTGTGAAGCTTAGTTTTTACAAACAACTTGTATGTATCCAATTTCAGTAATATTCCTATTCACATTCAGTGGAATTGCAGTGCTGAGGTATGCTTGGATGAAATACTTAGATATATACTGAACAGAAAAGAGGCATTCACTCCAGAATACACTTTGTGTTTCTCAGTAATCCCTTTTGAAGATTAAATGTATGCTAAATCTGCAAACAAAACTGAGAAACTAGAAAATGGTGTTCATTGTTCTGTTATCTCAGCTCTCAATGTCATTTATGAGTGCATAAGAACATGTTGATTGAAATGGATTTTTGCTATTTCAGGCATGTAATTATGGGGATGCCCTTGAATTATTTCTTGCCAGCTAAAAACCCCTCCAACCTTTAAAAACATAATCTTTTGTCAGCCATGTGGCAGAAGGTAGAAAATAGCAAATTAAAACTTGAATCTTAGTACAGTTCATTCTGTAAAGCAAGTTATTAAAATAATTTTTTTAACACTTAAATATAAAACCAAACATTTGTTTTTCTTTCAGATGAATGTCTGTAGGTTGCGCTTAACAGTACCACCTGATGAAGGCTCACAGCCTGAACAGGGAGCAAAGGAACCTGAAAGAAAGAAAAATGTAAGTTTTAAGAATCAAAGTTAAATTCTGTATAAACAAGGAGTAAATATTGCCATCCACAGAAGCTGGTATTAGTTGTTTTGGGAGCCCAAAACCCAGTCAACTTGGAAGACTGAAGAACGTGTGGAAGCTAAGTCAGCTGTGAGCTTTGAGCCTGAGCCTCTTTGGGGGGGATAGCAAAACTGCATGTAAAATAGGACAGTAGTAGAGGAACAGCACAGAGATTGTAAGTGATTTGTGACTGAGGTACCTTTAAGACTTCATTATTTAATATCTATATATTAAAGAGTAGGAAACTGCTATCAAGAGCAGGGTCTTGCATTAAACAGGATCTTGATGCTGACCTGAAGGGGACTTTATGTTTCATGCAAGCTTAACAGTGTGCAAGATTTGAGCCTCAGTGTGTATGGAAGCTGGCTTGCCTGGTATTTAAATGTTTTGCTGTGTTGGCTGATTTTGGTAATAGGTGATGTACTAATAAGAAATACAAAATAAAGAATTTAGGATTGTTGCGAAGTAAAAAGTGATTTGAAGGTCATGTGCGTAGAAGGGTTCAGAAGGGCAATTTTTTTGTAGAAGTAAGTAGCGTGCACGCACAAAAAAATCTTACAGCTGCTTTGGTGCAGAAGCAGAACTTGTTCTTTAAGAGCTGTTTCAGACCAACAGATGATGTTTAATTTGTCTTAAGGATGGAGACTAAAAAGGGAAGCTGGACAAGCTCCACAACTTCACATTTATACTTTGATAAACCAAAATCAAACAAGAAGTTGGCTAAGTTTACCAGACCCAGTGTCTGAATAGCAATATGACAATAGAAAGCAAAACAACAATAGGATTTATTTGAAATAATTTCTTAGTGGTACTCAGAAGCAAAAGTAACTGTAAAATTACTCAAAGACATTTTAAAGCAATAAAAATAAATGCAAAGTAAAATGGTCAAGATAAAGATTCCTTATCAGATATTTCTAATGGTGGAATCTTGTATACACTCAGCTTTTCATACACTCCTCTGGCAGAGTAATAGGTCCTTGAGGATCTATAAATGTTACTTACAGAATGGATTAAAGAGGCCTTAATGCAAACTAAATTTGGGCCACCATTGAACAGTAATTAATTTTGTACAGAGGTGTTTAGTTGTAGCACTTGGAGTAGCTTCCCCCACCACTTACTCTGTCAGTCTCTTGTCAGTTTATATCTGATTGCAGAAACCCTCAGCCTGGCCTAAACATATGGGCTCATTGCCCTCAGAGTAATGTAAGTTTGTTTTTGAGGATAGGTATTGACTCATGACTTACTCTACTGTGCTGAGTAGTGTAATAATAAGAAAGAATGTGAATGATTAGGGCTTGGACAATTTGTAGTGACTTTCTTACGTGACCAACTTTTTTCTCTGTGGCACCTTGTATTTAAGGAAAGCTGTATTTCCCCCATAATATAAGTAAAGGAAAGTGGGTTTTACATCAGAGATTGTTAAGGAGAGGATATGAAAGGTAATGAATACATTATCTGGCTCATCTTACATTCCGGTATATTGCACAGTGATTTTTAAGAGATGGGTCCTTTTTAGTTGAGACAAAAAATAGTCATAGTCTATAGAAGTGGTGACAAAAAAATCACTGATCATGAACTGTTTTTTCCTCATGTCTCTAAAACAAGACACTAATGTATTACCTGTAGATTTTTATTGTCTATGTAATGTATTGCTGTATGTATTTGAATTAGTTACACAGCAACTTACAAGGCACACAGGAGTCTTGACTAGTCATGCTGTGATAATTTTCTCTTACTGCAAAATTTAATTAAAAAAAAAAAAAAAAAGCATCTCCTAAAAGCAGTGATCAGGTATCTCTGTGGATCCACCCATGTTCAACTGACTCCATGTTAATGAAACTGCTTAAAGCACTTTGAGAATAGCAGGTTTTACAAATGTTAGATAATTCTCATACAGTCTTATGAGAACTGTGCCCCCTTGGAAATAGGGATAATAGAGAGAAATTAGGGAACTGCTCAGTTTTCTGCCTTGCACTTTATAATTTAAGGTCAAAAATACAGCTTCAAGAATCAAATTTAACGGCAGATCTCTTTTATTAAGAAAATGGGAAAATAAATGTTTTTCTGTATTTAAAATATATTAGTGTGACTTATGGAAATGAACTGCAGGGGTGGCGGAGTCCTCATCACTGGAAGTTTTCAAGATGCAATAGGACAGGGTGCTAGATAATCTCAGCTAGGCTCCTCTTCCCACGAAAGGTTGGACCAGGTGATCTTTTGAGGTCCCTTCCAACCTGGGCTGTTCTATGATTGCACAGTTTTTGCTGGAGCACTCAGGCAGATAAGGCAGTCTGAGCCTGGCTGCCAGGCGCTCTCCTGTTTGGGCAGGCCAAGTGCTGAAGAGCAACAGACTCTTCCCTGCCTCTGCCTGCTCCTGGTGAGGGAGGAGAGTGGAGACCTTGCTGTGTCACAGGGAATGCCAGAAAACTATAAATATACCATGGCGTGACATTTGGTTGTAATCTCCTCTTTCAAATCCTTCATCAGAAGGAGGTGATTCTGAGCTGCCCTAATGTGACATAGTGATGGTTTACTGACCATTTCCCACTTTCCTGTATCTTTCTGGGGCTCAGTACCATTGAGAGATGTTTCAGTTGCAAAATCAGCTAGTGAACTGCACAGAAGCTTTTAATAGTGCTCATCCTCCGAATAATTTTTTCTGGAGCTTGATGTCAGGTCAGAACTGATTCTCTATGGGTTGTGTTAGCTTAGCGTTTTTCATTGTAGACCACGTTTAGCAGAAAAATGTGTGCTGTGTTTCATTAAATCTGTATCACTGCATTAAGTTTCTAGATTGACTTTTTTATTGCTATACATCCATGAAATAAAAAAGAACCAGTGTAAGAGATTAAAACAAAGTGATGGAGCTGAGCAATTTTGTTGCAACAAAATTGCTGCAGGCACTACTGTACTAGGATGGCCTCTTCCTATCTTTTGTGAAAGGCTGGCAGATGGTGCATACTTAGAAGTTGATCTCAAAAACTGAAGGGGGAGTGAGCCTGTGCTCCAGTGTGTCAGGTTGGATTTTTATATTTGTATTTAGGCTATGATACCTTAAGAAAGTATATGAGAACTGAAGTCACAAGTCGAGGCTGGTTGGTTGGTTTGTTTGCTTTTTACAGGCTAAAAGCCTACTGCTAAGTATCTCTGAATTGTTAGCACTTTAGGTAGGGAGAATCTGAAACTATCATGATTTTGTTCCATTACTTCTGTTCATGATAGACAATGGATGACAGTAGTGTGAGGCTGTTTACTTCACCATGAAGTACAAAGGAGTATTGTGCTCATCAGATTGTATGCAAAATCTGCATGTCCTGAAGCCTGCCTTGTCTTGCATAATAAAAGGCTACCAGACAATTGTATTGTCCGTGTTTGGGATTGAGCTTATTTTTATCCATCAGTCCCTTTCTTCACTGTCACGGCTAAATTTGGCAGTGTCATTGGAAGCTGCAGCTAGTCATTTGAGGGCAGAATATGGACATATGTATAGACAGATTTTTCTTTTTTTTCATTTGGACACATGGACAAGAGAATGAAAATGAGATAACACTCTAGAAATTTGTGCCATTTGCCTGTCTTTGTGGCTTTCAACAGAGTTTGAACAGCATTTAGTCTTAAACTCTAGTTGGTACTTTGGCTGTATATATCCTCAAACTCTTTAATTTTCTTATGTTTTTAAAGCACCACAACCAAGAGGTGAAACTCTTTTTGCTTCCTAAGCAGGAATACAGAAACATAGCAAACATTTTTTTCCCCAGCAAAAAAGTAGGCTGTAAAGAAGCCAGAAGGGGAGTTTGCTCCTGTATGTGATGGAGAGAATCAGGCAGAAACTTGTGTCAGGCCTGGACCAAAGAATATGAGTGCAATGAACCTGGGGCTGTTGTCCTAGATTCAATGAGCACAGTGTCTATTTTCTCTGCTGATCTGCTGTTGCCAGCCCACTCCTATCAGCATAGCAGAAGTTGTGTCATAACAAATGTGGTTCATGTGCTACAGGTGGCTGATGTTAGCATTTCTCAGCCCCTCCAGCACCAATTGCTTGATTTTTTTATGTGTACTAATTAAGTGACACCTTAATTAAAAACAGCACTATATGAAAACCACAGAAAGAATTCCACTGGCTTCTGTGGTTACTGCTGTATTTGTTGTACCTTCTTTTCTTAGTGTATAAACATTGGTGTTCTGTGTACAGATTTCACTGATCAGATACGACTTATTATAATGCCTGTCACTTCTATTTTTTGAGATAGGCATCTAAATTCTACATTTCAAGGAGCTTAAAAGTTGGAATGTGTTAAACGATACTTCTTATTTAACGTCATGAATTTAAGAACACCATGTCTACATCTTTGCATATTTTCCCTATTTTAATACTATTTATGTATGAAACATCCATAAGTGTTAACATGAGTTTCATGGGCTGTAGAGGAATATGAAAAAACGTAAAAACATAGCTAGCTTTTGTCAGAGCACAGTAACTTTCCTTGGTGAGCTCAATATTATAAACTTGTCATTTTACTGAACAGAAAATACGTAACCTAAGTAACAATGTGTATGTTCTTGTTCCTTGTACAACTAGTGGAAAAACAAAAGATAACTGGATATTTTAGAAACCTCTGGAATGTGGCAGTTGAGGAAAAGATAAAGCCTCGCTTAACTGACATAGTTCTGGTTAAAAGAAGAGTTTTTAGATGGTGTAGCTAAACAGAAGATCATGATTTAGCAAAATTTTAAGGCCATATGAGTTTGTTTATAAACCAGAATTGTGCTAATCATTACATTAGATGTCCATTTTTCTCTTCTGTGCTTCTGCTTCCAATTTTGGGAGAAATTATAAAGTATGGTGGTATCTGACTTCCATTTCAGAAACTGATGGAGATAGATTAGGTAGCAGATCATCCCTCAGCGTTGTTTACATAATGCCAATAAAACCATGGGCAATTCAAAAAGCAGCTAACAACTCATATGTAGGGTTTGGTTTTACACTGTCTTTGCTTCACCTGTTTCATGCTACTTGTACTACTTCCTTGGACAGAGACATAAGCAGGATGAATGGCAATTATCAACACTTTTGCAACCTTGGGGTGTAGGCTTCAGTTTTAAATATTTATGAATTAAGTAAACATCGTCTGTGTTTCTTTAGTACATGCTGTGTGATCACACCAAGTGCAACGTGACTGTTGCTGCAGCGTAGTCAAAGCATGTTCCTGGAAGCTGCTGTACTATTCATGTGCATCAGCATCATGTCTTCTTGCTGTTACCTTGGACGGTCATATAACTGACTATACGTACAAAGAAATATTCACAAATTGCTTAAGATAAGCCTGCCTTTTCAGATCAGCAGCTCAGATTAGAAGGGATTTTGAGCACAATTTGGGGCAACAACTGGGCTTGTTCCAGTGCAGCAAGTGCATGGGCAGGTGGGGAGTGAGAACTTCCCTGTACTCTGGAGCTGGCTCATATTTTGATCTTAAATAGCAATGGTTAACTAATCTAACAAAACCTTTCATCTTCAAGCATTTTTCTGGTTAGCTTTACAGTATTTACTTGTTCCTAAATACTTGCATGCATTTACTTACTCTGTTATCATCACTGAGATGCCTCACTGCCGATCAGAGTGGAGACAGGTGAGGACCTTCTCAGAAAACTGTCTGAGTTCTGAGAGTGGATACGTATGGGACATAGAGGAAAACAATAAAAATTACTTGACTTAAAAAACATTCTATAGACCTTGGAGATGTGGAAGATCTGGGATTTGTGGAGGAGGAAGCATGGGAGAGAGAGGACATGACAGAGGAAGAACAGACGACAAGGCAGAAAAGGAAAAAACACTGAAGGGAGAAAAATAAACAAAGGTGGGTGAAAGTAGCTTAAGAGAGGAGACAAACTGGCAGAAAGTATACTTGATGCATACTTAGTCTTGCAGTTCCGTGGAGCAATTTGAGAACTGAGCCATTCAGCAAGGCCTCCTGTATTAAAAAAATAGTCAACAAGCAAAGCAACCCATCCACCCTGCATTGAGCAAAGTTTCCTGATTGTAACCCTTCCTCTAAGAGGAGATTGCATCAGGTTAGCTCTTTTTTGTCAGGACATATGCTGAACCCTGAAACAGGTGGTCATTGAGTGGAAGTTAAGAGTTACCAACCAGAGAAACGCAGTAGAAGGTAAGCATAGCTGGAATACAACAGCAAGGAAAAAGACTAGAGAAATATGAGAGCAGTTATTTGCATAGCTGTTGGTTCACACAGCTTTAAATCAACCAAGAACTGTACTGAAATTTTAACAGGTGCTTGCCTGGGGATTGTGATACAAAGGAGGAATAAGAAGGGGGTAAAAGCAATATCCTGTATTTTAAGTAGCACATAGTAGGACTGGAACACTCAAAAGATGATGGAGATTCTTTTAATCTTCTGAAAGAGAAGTGACAAAGGCATCTTGGGAGGCTTTTGCAAATATAGACAACAGGCAAGTTTAGCATTGTTGCAAGAGACATGTCACCAGTCTGGCTTTGTGCATACTTAATCCTGCATGTACTGCCCATTATGATGTAAATTTAAGTCTGTTCGGCTGTGAAATATGTAAGTGCCATGAGTGAATGTCCAGCAGCAAAACCATTGGTCTGAATTTGTTGGTCTTAGAGGGGAAAAAAAATCCTTCAAAGCATTCCTGAGGAATGTGTTTACAATATTCTAAAAATAAGGAACTTGATCATAATTTTCTTACAGAACTCTGCGAACAGCACTGTAAACAATTCTGCTAATGTTTTGGGGCACAAAGGATCTTCATAGTTTCTGGTTTTCAGCTGTTCAGCTTGTAAAAAATGAATGATCATGGGTAAAGGGTATGGATTTATGAATTCAGTGTCTGGTGCCTTAGTAACCTCTAAACAATCAAAGTGATTATTTATTTGGTTATCAGGAAGATGGAAACTTGGATGTAATCCCTTTATCCAGATGCAGGGGAGGAGCTGTGATGAAACTATCAAAGAAACTGTACAACCCTGGAAGCAAACAAACACAAAAAAGTTTTGAGTTACGTCCCCATCTAGTTTCTGCATTTTCTCTACTCTCAAAAAATCAGGTGTGAGGTTTTTGTTTGTATGCATCCAACAGCAAAACAAAACCCCCAATAATACATAATTATGAAACTTCTGATTAGCAGGATATGAAGCTTTGCATATAATGTTTTCAAAGTGCAAAATGCTATCATGTATAGGTAGGGGTGGTTGCCCATTGTTTTTCCATTGTGTGGTTTTAAGGCTTTCTTTTTAAATGATTGCTTATAGCTTTGTTGTTCTTTGCCTGAAACGTTCTTTATCAGGCGTCTGCTCTGTGATTGTTCCCCTCCCAGCCCTGCACACACACACCCAGAGCTTCAGCAAAATGGTTAAGCTATTAATAATACGGTAAAGGAAAATGTGTGGGATTTAGAACGTTCAGAAAATGCCATGCGGGAGGGACACAATGTAAATAAATGATCCATTCTTCTTAATGCAAGTAGATTTTTCTGTTTGTTTTTCCCTTACCCAAATAAGTATTTATTCTTACACTGCCACCATAGTCATGTTTGTTTGGCTGCTAAAAACTGGAGGTGCTACGGCTTTAGACTGCAGATGCTATCATCACTGTCTGTCATGGTAAGGACTGGAGACTCTCTAGGATGCAGCTGCAGATGGGTATAAGATGCTGAGCTTCATCTCTTCCAGCCTCTGTTTGGTGTCATAGAGAGTATTTAGATGCTGCTTCGACTCTTAGTTTAGTAAAGAATCTCAAAGTTTGTCGGTTTTCATACAGTGTCATTACTGAACAACAAAAAAAACCCCAAACATATTCTAAGGTCAATGTAGTAAATATTCTCAATTTTACCCATATCCTGGTATGTCTAGTGTGAGAAAGAAAGTTCAGTAAAATTATCTATAACTGATTTGTCCCCAGCACTGGCCTTTTAAAAACAACATGCAAACCTAAGCAGTAACAGCTGTATTTCCAAGATTGCATCTTTCCAACTTTCTATTCAGGAATAATCTAATTTTAGGTGCCTAGTTTGCAAATATTCAAAGTTAGGTAAGAATATATTTTTCCCTTTTTAAAAAGTCATAATGTGGATGTCTTCATCTAAGCTAGTTGTTTGAATTCTTTGTAATCAGGAAGAGAAATTAGTACTTCTGGAGACTGACTCATTTCAGATGATTGTTACAGGATGTTTCTCTGGGTCGATTAGGAGGGAGGCTAGGTGAGTAGTCAGGTCAGGTGGTTACATCTGACCTTGCAGATATTTATTTACATGCTGAGGGAAATGATTCCTACTGTTTACATGAATATTTTTCTTACTAAGTGTATCGATGAGATGAATAAGAGGAGTCTGTTGCAAGGAGTGCCTTAAAGTACGATACACAATTAATACAAGTACATTTTACAAATTTCTGCAGATCATTAAAATAACAAATGTAGGCACTTTTAAACAGCCTTTCTATTTACCTGTCAAGACCTGATTTCAAAGTTTTATCCTCCTACAATCGTTAATAACACTGGAACGCCCACATGAATGCTGTTTCGTAGCTTTGCTTGGGCTCTTACAATGTCAGTTGTACAACTTCTAGAAGAGAAATGCAGCCCTGAAATGAATATTTGATTGCTTTGGAGGTCCTTAGTTAGTTTTAAATGCAAACTGAAATTCTACTTTGTTTATCTCCAAGATAGACAGATACTTTTTGAGCTCTGTTTAAGGAACCTTGCCTAAAATGTTTGAATTTCAGAGAACTTTCTAAAATTTTTCATTAAACTTTTGTATTTTTATATTTCCTACAGAAGGGAGTTTGGGGAGTGAGGGGCAATTCTGTGGTTGCAAGAGTTTAAAGGGAACTGTGAGAGCTGACAGTGCTCTGGAAGAATGCAGAAAAGGGGCATCTGTTGGTGAATGAAAATAAGCCAGGATAACTTTTTCTCTCACATGCCTTTACCTCTCCTTGCACAAATCCAATCTGTTGTCTCTAGCTGTACCTATATCACTTCCATTAAAGCCAGTGGAAATTAGATATCTCTATCATCTTTATCAATTATAAACTGGTCATTGATCTTTCCAAAAACATGAAGGTTGACAGTTTAGCCCCAAAACATTTGGGAACTAGTGTTCTTAGGTACTGTTGTGCTTTCACTAGAGTTGGCTGTCTCTCCTGGACCTACGCTACTGTATTTTTGTTTGTTATTTTTTTATTCTAGTACTGATATAAAAATAATTTTTTTTTTTTTTTTTTTTTTTTTAACTTTTAAGGAGCTCTACCATGTACCAAATGGCATGTCTCCAGGGAAGCTCTCTCATGGGATGGTGTATGGCGTTGTGCACAGAACTGACAACAACCATAAGAGAGAAATGGTGGTTTATGGGTGGTCAGCTGATCAGCTGAAAGAGGAGATGAATTACATTAAAGAAGTGAGTTATGCTTTCAGCCTCAAAATTTGTCAAATATCCTTTCCATATATTCATGTAGAGCTGTGAGTGTATATGGGATGACTGACATCTAGCCCAACACCTGAATTTGAATTGGGCACCTACTCTGAAGCTAAAGGCTTGCCTTGTTAGTATTTGAGTTGGAAAAAAAGCATGCTATATAGCTGGGAACTGTGTGGTCCAGACTCAGGGCCTCTGTGACAAGTGGTACTTGTTAATGCTTGCTGACTGGGCTACAGCTGGGCAAGCAGACTGCCAAACAGATCTTGGGGTTCCTGTCCTGAAGCCTTCGTAATTTCAAATGTGATACAGAAGAAACTATGTAAGCAGACACCTAAAAGGATAAACTCTCTCCTCTCTTCCCCTGCTTCAAACCCCCCCGGTTTTGAAAAGGCTCCTAAATTAGGTGACATAGTAAAATCACTTGAGTATATTTTGGGGCAGCCTTAAAATAGTCAGCCTAGTAAGGATGACTTTGTACTACTTTCTCTGTGTATGTTCATTTATTGTAATTGGCAGAAGCTGTCCTGAAAGAAAAAAAATGTGTTTCTGATGCTGCTGGTTTCTGTGCTTGAAACTCAGCATCTCTTTGCCTGTCAGTCCTTGGCTCTCAGACTTACTTTGACAATAACCCCCTAAATAGCCCAGGGCAAGTAATTTGACCTTCTCTTTCCATCCACCTTCACCACCCGGGAGGCTATTGGTCAATGGTTATCAGTGTTAACACTGATTCAAGTGCAAACTGAGTTGATATAAAAGGGAGGAACACCGAGTCAAGCCAGCAGTGTAAAGACTGTAATTATGTGTGCTCTTAACATCTGCCTGGTCCTACCTATCAGCACTTGCTTCTCTCCCTTATTACTCACAGTTTGTTAGCTCCCAGCATTCACCGCTCTCAAGTTCCTGCACTCACTGTTAGGGTATGTCACTCCCGCAGTGCAGGCGAGGCACTCGAGCTGCCTTGGCTGCTGGTTGTCTGCCCGGGTAGCTTATCTACCCTGCTGGGGTGGTGTCAGGGGATGGGTGAATTGGCAGGCGGCAGGTCCAGCTCCCCGGGCTGGGCTGTTTCTGGTACCTGGCACAGAGTGCTTGCACTGGGACCATCTCCCGGCCCTTTCCTCTTCACAGCCGGCTTGTGGCACGGAGGGACATGTCAGACCAGGTGAACTACACGTCTTGCATATGCGTTCAGGGTACTGATCCTTTCAGGAAAAAGTGGGAAAGATGTGGGAAGAGATGTACTGGCCCTTGCTTTCCCATCTTCTGGAAGCTGTGCTGAACTATGCTAATTTGTGAACTTTGGTCTGCCAGATAAGTTTCATCTCTAGAGTCTTAAAGAAGAGTCCTCAGCTTGTGCCACGTATATGCTGACTTAAATAGACCAAAAATGATGGGCCACGTCAGAACTGCTGACAGTTTCCTCTGTATCTGAGTCAAATTTGCACCTTGCAAGAGCAGGGTGTGTGCGTGTGTGTGCGTGCTTATGTGTGGGTGGGGACAGGGCGAGGGGTGCTTTCCTGAGGTGAAGTGCTGGAGTCAGCTCCCTTCCATGTTTCTCATCCTAAAGGGAGCATGTAGTTTGGGGTAAGCTTGTGCCTACTCCTTGCATAGATCTGATGGCCAATGCCCCTCTTGCTAGGCAGGAGTGGGTATACTGCAGAGCTGCTAGAAACATCCCCTCTGGTATAAGGCCCTACTAATGTTTTCCCCTCACTCCTTCCCCCAAGCCTATGCAGAGAAGAGGTAAGCGAACAGCCCTAGATTGTCTGCAATCAGTCTGTGTTTGATGGGGTGGGGAGTTTGAATTACGTAGCTGGAAGGTAGACTGCGGGCAAATATTTCACTATCATTTACAATGTGTGCTCTTGAGAAGACTGGTTCTGTGCATGATTGCAATGGCATGTAAACCCAAGCGGCTTCCAGCATGCTTTTTTTTCTTTTCTTTTTTTTTTTAGAAAGACAAGGTATAATTTACATCTATAGTTCTTAAATAAAATTATATTGAGTACTCTGTTCTTCAGATTTGAAATCGCATTGGTAAATTTATGCTAATACATTGTTTAGCTGGATAGGAGCCTAAAAGTCCAAAATTAAAGGGTTTATCTTCAAGGGATACTCAGGGAAAACTAATTAACCACTTTAAAAAGTATGCAGGTGTATTAAATCCATGTGTGGATGCTTTTTTTTTTTTTGAAAGAAAACATTATATGCTCAAATTAATTTTAATTCATTTAGTAAGGTTAGAATGAGTTACAGATAATTTAATTGAATTTCATTATTTAAATTATTAATTTACAAGTGTTTATGTGTGTACAGAGAAGTTTGGAATTACTCAGAGGTGTTTATTCATGTCAGCCCTACGTAGACAAGTCTTGAGACTTAAGTTTTTGTCTTGTTTTTGAGAGTAAATTGCTGTTGATGAAAAGGTAGATTAATAACGGAAATTACTGAAAGTAACAATGAAGGGCATAGGAAAAAAATCACGTCCTCATGTAAACAGTATCATCAATAAGTTTGATAAAGTCATTTTATTTTTTCTGACACCAGGTGAGAGCAACTCTGGAAAAAGTAAGAAAGAAAATGTATGGTGAATATGATGAAATGAAACGAAAAATACAGCAGCTTACAAATGAACTGAAAGTAAGTATACGTTCATTTGCAGGGAAAGCATATGAGAATAAGTGCCCCAGTGTTATCTAGAAACTTTTTGTGCTTCAGCAGAACAGAAGTAATTTCTCAAACCACTCCAGTTCATTGTTTTATGTGACATCTATATTTTTCTTTCTTTATTTATTTTTCCCTCCAGGAAGGTAAAGTAGGACAGGGATGCTTTTGCATATGGAATTACTAATTGCCTGCTTCTTGGAAATAAAAGAATGATCTTGATAGCATTGTCTGTGTGTATTGACAATTAGTGGAGATGCTTGTACCAGTAAGCTGCCATGTGAATTGAATAAATAACCTACATAATTAGGAGTAACATGCACCTTAGTTGGTGTCATTTCAACAGGCTTTGCTCTGTTTTACTGACTTCATTGTTTAGACACTGTAGTAAAAGAGGTAGCAATATTCTTTAGTATTAAAGTGCTTGACAGTTCTAGAAATTACTTACCTTTTGGTTCTTGATTGAGCCTTTCAGTGGTCATTTGATGACCTTTCTTCTGACATGCTGCTTTAGCAATAAAAGCTACTGCAGTCTGTAGAAGCATCCTTCATAATAAACTGCTAAGTTCTTTGGTCCAAAAAATCTCCCTGAAAACTTGCTGTGGATTTTGTATTCAACATTGATTTTCACAGCCCTGGTTCAGATGAAGCTTTGGCAATTAAATGTATCCAGCCTTCAAGGGACTGAGACCCTGACTTGTGCCCTTCTGCCATCCTCATTTGGAGGCTGTCAGTTCCCTGCATGCTCCATTATGTATAAAGATCAGAACTTGCTGTTAAACTGGTATTTTTATTCTGTGGCAACTAGTCTCAAAAAAACAACAAAAAAAATCACCTTGACTTGAGAGGAGGAGGGAGAGAAAACTGCACTTCTGTAAACTGTGTTAAATAGTCTTAATGATGCCAACAAGGTGAGTCTCCCACCCAGTATGCACGCAGGCAAATGCTGATTCAGATGTCGTTTTGTTGCCTTTGCTGCTGATCCTTACTGAATAGCAGTTGGTGATATTCTGCACTTCCAGATCTTCTGTCAGACCTGTAGAAATCCTGCATGAGTCTGAACATCTCTCTTAGTTAAGGGTTTCTGACCAGCTCTGACAGAATGTCTAGTTCTGCAGCAAATTAGCAGTTTATGAAGCACTCCTTCTGACATAAATGGCACATTATGAGACACCCTCCCCCCTTTTTTAATACTTTAGACTGCCTGAAAGAAAGCACAAGTGTTGTTCTACCTAATAATATATGCTTTTGTTTGTTTGTTTGTTTGCTTTGGTTTCTGTTTTTAGTTTTACATGACTGCCATCTTTCACACTATTTGGGGATCCTGTTTAAAATCCTTTATATACTCTTTGCTTCAGCTTTAAATCACTGTGCTTTTTCCCCATCAATTTCCAGGACTACTTATTGTTCATAAAGTTTGTTTGAAATTTGTACTTCCAATATCCTGCCCTGAGCAGTATGCTTCTTCATACAAGTTCTTATCTTGTAACTTTCTTAATCCATCCAAAGCATTTCTGCTTTTCTTTGTTTGTTTTTACATGAACACACGTTTATATAGGGTTAACAGTAACTTCTGCTCCCTGTGCTGACCTAATCTGTGTATGACTTGGTTACTAAACATTCATTGTTCTCCATATCAGTCCCTAGTGTTCTTATGTTTTTATGAAGAAACAAGTCTGGTCTGTTTAAGAATGTGAGTTGGGCTGGCCTGCATTAGTAACATTTTTTTTCTCTTTATTGTTGGATGGTTCATAATTATTTACACTGTTTGGGTTTTGGTCTCTTCTTAAATGATGTATTTTTTTGCCTTTTTTTTTACCCCTCCAGTTTTTAAGCGCATTTGTGTACTTAACAGAATATGACATATTTTCATACAACAAAGCTCTCTGCTGACTTCTACCTGCTTCGTATTGTTTCATCCTTAAGTCTTCTTGATGTTGCTTCTTTACATACCTGATTAGTCAGTTCCTTCTTGGTTAAGGCTATTCACACAAACCTTTCTAGATTTCTTCATTTCTTGCATTCTTCTGCTTTTCATTCTGTGACTTTTTACAATCTGCCCACTCTGTGTATATAAACCAAGTAGACATCCGACAAGTGTCCTCTTGTCCTTTCAAAAAGAGCAGCTTTTACAGTGATTACAGACTAGCAATAAACATAGATACTTGTGCCTTATTTCTGTTAGCATATTTGGATACTAAGTTTTGTTTGTTTGTTTTTGAGGTGCAAGAATATGGTTTGAGGCCTGTATATTTTAAGCATCCTAGTACTGTGAAAATTAACCATGGGGTCTTTCTCTTCCGTAGCTCCCTTTGAAAAAATAGGTAAACTTAATCATTATTCTATATAAAACTTTTTTTTTTTTTTTTCCTGCTCAGGTGACAAATGCTCATCAGGAATCCTTAGAGAATCATGTGCGAGTGCAGGCTGCAGCCTTAGATAGCTTTAGTGAAATGAACAGCTCCTTGACATCAGCATCTATAGACTTGCAGGTACATTTTAATAGCTGTTTCACAGCTGACAACTGCCTTTTCTGACATGGATTTAAAAGCATACATAAAACATGGATGACAAATATAGATTCTAACACTAAACAAGCCTATAAAGTACTGTCTTGGATATCTACGGCAGCTAATTTAGGAAACTAAGGAAAAAAAATTCCAACGCCTATGTTTCTTTAAAAAAACTGTTAAAAATAGTGTACAATAAAGAGATACTGATCTGCAGCAGACTAATGCCACTAGTTATGTCTCTACAAAAAGTCTAAGTTGAAAATGTGATTTGTTCTGTATTGTGGAAAATGGTGCATCTGACTTACTCCTACCTTCATTGGTTAACAGAAATGGAAGTGGCATATTTGGATGCTAAACACCTGTGAGAATTTACATACTGTGAAATGTAGGGGGAGGGAGGAGATGGGAGTGAATTTTCTGTTTTAAAGACTTCCGAATTACCATGTATCTGAGCTGAACAACTTGAAGTTCCTGCTTTCTTGTATGTCACAGTTTTTCTTGGTCTAGTGCACTTAATACGTATAGCATGGCCTTTGGAGAGAAGAAAACAAGATTGTTGGGAGTAGCATTCATACTGAAATGTATCCCTGTCCTTTCTTTTTTTTTATAGTTTTCCAGGACTTGATTTCATTGAGCATGTCCTCATGGAAAGACGTCCTAGCAAACTAAACACAACCAAAGCTATAAATTTAAATGTTAAAACTTGCAAAACTGTTCACGGTGCACTGATACATCAGGAAATTCTTAAATGTTCTGTCTGTTCCATAATCTCTTGGCTGTATTAGTTCACCAAATTATTTATGATTTTTAATATGTGGTTTCCCTCTTTCTTCTAGAAAACTCTAGTGGATGTTACATTGGAGAACACTGATATAAGGGAACAAATAAGGAATTTAAAACATACACATGAGCAATCTATGGAAAAGCTGAGAGAGAAGCAAAAGCAACTGGAAACAGCACAAATTGAAAATCAGTTACTGAAATTAAAGGTGCGGTATATAAACTCCCCTGAAAATATTGCACAGTATGGGCATTAGAAGTATGTTAAATTAATTCCATGGCCTTATTTGTAAAGGGTTCTTCATTCTTCATGCCTTCATTGTTCCATAGAGCTGACATATTCCTGTGAATCAATACTCTTTTAATAGCAGAGAATCTCAGCTGGCAGCAGTCAGTCTTTCTATAACATGGGATTACCATTCAGGGATGTTGGCAGGTGAAAATTCAAACCATTAAATGGTTATTAGTGTCCATTGCTGTAAGTAAGGGAATATTATAACTGTACACAGTGCTATAAGAATTTCTTGATGTTGAATTTGTTTATTTGGTATTGCACAATTTTTAGTAGGTAATCTGTTAAGTCTTACAAGCATATGGTCAGCAGATACATGCTGTAAGAGCAAGTGTCTTGGAAAGAGAATTAAGCTATTTCTTTCAGAGAAATGTAAGGGAATAAAATGCAAACTGGAAGGCTTTATATTCCAGAAAGCTTGACTGTTTTCTCCCCTCATCTGCTAAATGTATTCCTTTAATCTCATTTAAAAAAAACCAAACCACACCCCGACCAAAAAAACCTCTTCTGGAAACTTTTGTCTCAAAATTGCTCAAAATAGACTAATTTGGATATAGTACTGTATCGGAATCTGTCATTGTGAAATTAAAGTGACTGCTGATTTATTCATATTTAATTAATGAAGAAAAAGTTTAAATTTTGACCTCAAAGTTGCAGTTTTATTACAGACTTAGTGGATAAAATACCTCATTGCTGTCTTTGAAAGTTAAGCTTAAAATTGTGTATCAAAGATGCCAAGACATCTTGGATTTAATTTCAGAGGTGAACGTAAGATGGTGTGGAATCTGGGAGGTTAACAGTTGAAAAGCAGTAACTACCATATGCCATGATAATTTTCTGGGTAGGAGAACACATCCATGTAGCTTATTAAGTAGGTTTGGTTTATTCATACAATCATAACAATAACTGAGGTTGGAGACATTGCTTAAGAGTACTGTTATAGATGCCCTGATGCGTCTGTCTTTTTATGCTTGTTTTTACTCTCATTGCTCAAGCTATAAGCAAAGGAATGATGGAGAGACAGTGCCAGAGATCATATTCCAGTTCAGTGTATCTTAAGAACTCTGAGTTTTCATTGTTGGCTTTTTCTGAACAATATGATTCTTTCAGGCTTCCTAAAATGTGGAAGGTTTTGTGTTGTACTGAAACTTAATTTAACTCCACTCCCTCTCATAACGTGCAGGTTACTATCCCTGCCCCAGTGTTGGTCTAGGTGAGATGCCAAAGGGGGCGATTGCAGTACAAGTGGAGTCCTTCAGAGCTCAGTCCCTTTTCAAAGGGTGAAATATACTGTTGTTATCCTACAGGATAGTAAAACAGCTTGTTCCCACCATGCAAGATAGACACAATGGTTTAATAAATCTTTCAGTCCTTGAAATGAAAAAAACACCAACCCAAAATGTTAATCATCAGAACCAGGTATTTGATGGCTGTGTAAACTGTAGCGATCAGCAGGGAACACTTTATTCTTCTTCCAGATGACAGTATATTCCTCCTCTTCCTGACATTTTTGTAGCACCCACAGCATTTTGCTATAACCTTGTCTGATTTATAGCATCTCTGGTAAGAGAACTATGTCCTGGACTAGCTATTTTACTTTGCTTTTATTGCAGTTTATAGAGTAGATGGGTTTAAGCTGTGAATACCCTATCTGGTGTTCAATCACTGAGGGTGTGGTTCAGTATTTTGAGCCAACAAACGGGAAATCCTGTCTCTGAATTACCATTCCTGCCCTCTTCCCTATAGCAGTAGTAAAGTTTCTGGTCCTGTAGTTAAAAATTAACCCTTCCAAACCCCCAAGTATATTAATTTTAAGTCTGATTGTTCCCTGCTATGCTTTGCTCCGTGGTCACCCCAGTTCTTGTGCCTACACAAAGAGCAGTATGTGAAAAAGCAAGAGAGAGGAGGGAGGGTACAACAGTGTCTTCTAGTTAACAACACATACTTAGGTCAAGCTTAAAGGAATTGTTGCTTTGAGTGGTCGTGGTCATTTAGAAACAGGAGTTGAGTCTAGACCATCTTTAATCTATGTTTCTATAAAATGGGGGAAGACAAATGCTCTTGATGCAAATGAAAATCTGCTTCAGCAGTGTTAAAGTTATAACAAGGTGAACTGAAGTTCAAAGTGTTACACTCACATCATGTGAACTCCATTTCTCCTGCTGCCAGCAGTGCTGTACTGACTGATGGGTCAACTTTCCCCTCTCATAGGTGGAATCGTCACAGGAAGCCAATGCTGAAGTCATGAGAGAGATGACAAGAAAACTGTATAGTCAGTATGAGGAAAAAATGCGAGAAGAGGAGCAGAAACATAAAGCTGAGAAAGAAATCCTCCTAGTATGTATAGCCAGTCTGTACGAGTGGTGCTTAGCTTGGGTGTCATTTCTCAGTCACTTAATACTCCAGAGTTGACATGTGTTCTTTCACTCCCGTCTCTGTGACTAATCATGCCATAATTACTAAACTTTCCAAGCTTTGGGGGTCGTAGGGCTAAGAAAAGAATGTGTTCAAACACAGTAACAGTGATGATAATGTAGATTTCAAAATTTGAAATGGAGTAAGTTGGGTTTTTTAACTTCTGATTCTCTAAAAAAAGAGGAAAATATAATTTCTAATTTTAGTGATAGTTTAAGAAGGGGAGGGGGAACAACTTCATTGGACGCTACTGGAGCAAGAACTCTTCCTGTCCCCTGGTTTCCCTCCACCCCCAAGTAAAATGTTTCTATGAGCAGTTAATCATTGCATTTTTCTAACCGATAAAGATAGGTAATGACTGAGATTGAAGGTAGATTGCCCAGTCTCTTTTTATTCATACTGTTTTATATGTGAGGAAAGTACAAAGCTGAACGTAGCATTCTGAACAGCAAAGTTTGCCATCTTCTGCAACAGCGTGTTTTTCTTATGCTGTTACTTCACGGCATCCTCAGAAGAGAAAAAATTATCTAAGAAACGCGTAAAAATTTTTCTCAGATTTTCGTAATGATGCTTTACAAACACCTATGCACTTTGAAGTGCCCCACATCTTTTGTTTTATACAATTCACATTTAGGGTCACAGGTCTTCCAGGCTTCTGGGCAGGTGTAGTGAAAAGCTTTGAGCTCTGCTTAAAAGCTATTTAGGCCTGGCTGTATGGCCTAAAAAAAAAAAATCCTCATCAATATATTGGATGTCAACGTGACTGTAGGTGTCCTTATTTGAAGGAGGAAACGAATCGGCTTCTGAAGGCTATTGAAGAGGCAAATAAGAAGATGCAGATTACAGAAACAAGCATACAGGAAAAAGACCAGAGAATTGGTGAGCTGGACCGTCTGATTGAACGCATGGAAGAGGTATGAGATTTAGTTGATTGCTAGCTTTAAAAGAAATGCAGAAGTGCATGGAGGAAATTTTTTTTTTTAATTTTTTGTTCTTTTGTCTTCTGCTCAGTACCCTGTTCAGTAACATACCATTGCTGTTTGCATCTTACTTATGTATCCATATAAGTAAATGGACGTGGACTACTGTAGAGACACTGTGATTAAGTAGTTCTTCTGTCTTGCTAAACCTAATGAAGTAGTAATCATAAATGATCCAAAGTCTCTTAGAAATGCTGTTGGTGGGTCCATGGAGTGCATGGACCTCTGCCTGGGGATGGATAAGGAGCTGACCGAGAGCTTATGGGTCAGGATTAAAGGGAGGGCAGGGACAGGTGACATTATAGTGGGGGTCTGCTACAGGCCACCCGACCAGGAAGACAGCAGATGAGACCCTCTATAGACAGACAGGAGCTAGGAGCAGCCTCATGTCCAAAAGCCCTGGTCCTCATGGGGGACTTCAGCCACCCCAATATCTGTTGGAGGGACAACACAGTGGGGCATAAGCCTGGAGGTTCCTGGAATGTGCTGATGACAGCTTTCTTCTCCAAGTGACAGAGGAGCCAATGAGGGGAGGTGCTATGCTGGACCTTGTTCTCACTGACAGGGAGGAGCTGGTGGGGAATGTGAAGCTCAAGGGCAGCCTTGGCTGCAGTGACCATGAAATGGTGGAGTTCAAGATCCTTAGGGCAGCGAGGAGGGTGCACAGCAAGCTCAATACCCTGGACTTCATGAGAGCGAACTTTGGCCTCTTCAGGGATCTGCTTGGTAGAATACCATGGGATAAAGCCCTGGAGGGGAGAGGGGCCCAAGAAAGCCCAAGAAAATTTAAGGATCACCTGCTCCAAGGTCAGGAGCGATGCATCCCAACAAAGAGGAAGTCAGGCAAAAATGCCAGGAGGCCTGCATGGAGAAACCAGGAGCTCCTGGACAAACTCAAACACAAAAAGGAAGCCTACAGAGAATGGAAGCAAGGACCGGTAGCCTGAGAAAAATACAGAGAAATTGTCTAGACACCCAGGGATCAGGTTAGGAAAGCTAAAGCCCTGATAGAATTAAATCTGGCCAGGAATGTCAAGGGCAACATGAAAAGCTTCTATAGGTATATCAGTGATAAAAGGAAGACTAGAGAAAATGCAGACCCTCTCCAGAAGGAAAAAGGAGACCTGGTTACCTGGGACATGGACAAGGCTGAGGTAATCAATGACTTTTTTGCCTCAGTCTTCAGTGGTGAGTGCTCCAGCCACACCACCCAAGTCACAGAAGGCAAAGGCAGGGACTGGGAGAACTAAGAACCACCCACTGTAGGAGAAGATCAGGTTTGAGACCATCTAAGGAACCTGAAGGTGCACAAGTCCATGGGACCTGATGAGGTGCATCCATGGGTCCTGAGGGAACTGGCAGATGAAGTGGCTAAGCCACTACCCATCATATTTGAGAAGTGGCAGTCCAAGGAAGTTCCCACTGACTGGAAAAGGGGAAACATAAGCCCATTTTTAAAAAGGGAAAAAAGGAAGACCCAGGGAACTACAGGCTCACCTCTGTGCCCAGCAAGATTATGGAGTGGATCCTCCTGGAAACTATGCTGGGGCACATGAAAAATAAGGAGATGATTGGTGACAGCCAACATGGCTTCACTAAGGGCAAATCACACCTGACAAATTCTGTAGCTTTCTATGATGGGGTTACAGCAATGGTGGATAAGGGAAGAACAACTGACATCACCTACCTGGACTTGTGCAAAGCATTTGACACTGTCCCACACGACATCCTTGTCTCTAAATTGGAGAGACATGGATTTGACGGATGGACCACTCGGTGGATAAGGAATTGGCTGGGTGGTCGCACTCAAAAGAGTTGCAGTCAACAGCTTGATGTCCAAGTGGAGACGAGCAACAAGTGGTGTTCCTCAGTGGTCAGTATTGGGACCGGCGCTGTTTAATGTCTTTGTTGGCGACATGGACAGTGGGATTGAGCACACTGTCAGCAAGTTTGCCGAGGACACCAAGCTGTGTGGTGTGGTTGACACGCTGGAGTGGAGGGATGCCATCCAAAGGGACCTTGACAGACTTGAGAGGTGGGCCTGTGCTAACCTCATGACATTCAACAAGGCAAGGTCCTGCACATGGATTGGGGCAATCCCAAGCACAAATACAGGCTGGGCAATGAGTGGGTTGAGAGCAGCCCTAAGGAGGACTTGGGGGTTTAGTGGATGAAAAACTGAATATGAGCCAGCAATGTGTGCTCCCAGCCCAGAAAGCCAGTCTCATCCTGGGCTGCATCAAAAGAAGCATGACCAGTAGGTCAAGGGAGGTGATTCTCCCCCTCTGCTCCACCCTCGTGAGACTCCACCTGGAGTACTGCGTTCAGCTCTGGGGCCCCCAACATACAAAAGACATGGACCTGCTTGAGCAGGTCCAGAGGAGCGCCATGAAGATGATCAGGGGCTGGAGCACCTCTCCTATGGAGACAGGCTGAGAGAGTTGGGGTTGTTTAGCCTGGAGAAGAGAAGGCTCTGGGGACACCTTATAGCAGCCTCCCAGTACCCAAAGGGGGCCTACAGGAAGGCTGTAGAGGGACTTTTTACAAGGGCATGTAGTGATAGGACAAGGAGTAATGGCTTTAAACTGAGAAAGGGTAGATTTAGATACAAGGAAGAGATTCTTCACTGTGAGGGCAGTGAGACACTGGAACAGGTTGCCCAGAGAGGCTGTGGATGCCCCATCCCTGGAAGTGTTCAAGGCCAGGTTAGATGGGGCTTTGAGCAACCTGGTCTAGTGGAAGGTGTCCCTGCCCATGGCAGGGGGGTTGGAACTAGATGATCTTTAAGGTCCCTTCTAACCCAAACCATTCTATGATTCTATGGTTGATTAAAATGCATTTTAGTTAGGAATAGACCTATTTAGTTATTTATAGTCCTGATTGGAATTGTGTGTCCAAATTTCTCCACATGTGGATGAAATGCTAAACTGAAAGCTTCAGACTAAAATGTTTTGAGGTTTTTTTGTGGGTATGTAGCAGCCACTTAATCTTCCATGCAGTATCTATCTTATTTAGATTATGGCTCAGAATATTTTGAGGAGAGAAGAAAAAAATCATTTTTACTGCCTTTTAATCCCAAACTTAAGTTTTTCCTTTCTTGCTAGCATTAAAAAACTTTTAATTATTCCTCTCCCTGGCTAAATATGCCCTACCAAACTGTAATTGAGAGCAGGTTTTTGACAATTTACTTTTAAAGCTCTGAAAGCAGAAATGCTGAGACACATTTCCCTCTTGTAACACTGGCAGCACTACTGTAAAACTAGTTGTAGCAGTTTTTGCATTGCTTCTTTTTATTTCCTGCTTTTTCTTCTTCTCTTTTATGGACTTTGCTCTAGGGCAAAACTCAGACTAGTAGTCAGATGATTATTATTTTAATGTATTGTTAAGCCTAAGTGTATCACAGTACCTTCCTTGCATAGTACACTGCATCTGAATCTCATTTGTTGAACCTTTTCAGGTATCTGAAAAAGCTTTGTGTCTTCTGTCTCAAACAGTTACGGTGAAATTTCCTCTTCGTTTCGTGGTATCATTCACCTAGCTGAGAATGAATGTTATTGTTTAGTCCTTAGACTGAATAGTGTATAGTATAAGAGCAGCCCTTCCAAAAGACTCTGATGCTCTTGGATGTACTTTGGCATTTCTTATCTCATTCAGTACCAGGCATCTCATTACCTTTAAAGATCTGTGCCTTGCTATCTAAAATACAGAAGCAGAGAGCATTCTAGTAAGTAGAGAGAATATGATCTTCTGTAACACCTTTAGTTGAGTATAGTAAATATTTGTTACTGAGAAATAGATTCTTATAAGCCAGTCTTGTTAGTTTGACTAGTTAGTCTAATGTGCATTTGTATTGAGCCCCTTTTGTTTAATGCTTGCAAATCTATTTGTAGAATTAGCGATTACGCTGAGAAATCATTCAGCTTAATATTCCCCTTTAGTAGCTCCGTTAACTTCATCTGGGCTTCAGCCTACAACTTGTAAGTATTATGCAGTGAATAAAGGATTGCGATATAGTTCTTAAGTACAGATGAGTTTCTTCACGTTGATTATTTAATTTGCTCTTATCTGGCTGATACTTGCAGAGTAAACCTGAATGCCTCTTAAATTCCTGTTAAAGTGGATAGCATACTCCTCTGTTAATTCGTGTTGACTCAGTTCCCAAGTTGATACAGATCTTCACGAGTACTGTGCTGGTGGACACCTAAAAAATAAATGGAATATTTTGGGGAGGAAAATTGAGCAATACCTTTTATCTCAGCCTTGGATTGAGAGATCTTTTTGGAGGAATAACATGGAAAATTTGACATTTATGTAAAGATTGTGATGACTCATCTTTTTATTAAAAAAATTCAGTTTCAAGTACAACCATACATCTTCAAATAGGAAATTGAAAACTGGTCTTTTTTTCCATGCATAGCTGGGAATTTGATTTTATTATTATGCATTCTGTGCTCCTTGGCTACAGGAAATGCATTAATTTTGTTTAATCAGTTTCTATTTTAATTTCACAAATGATCTTTGGAATTGCAATGAAATATGCTTTGTGAAGCCTTTACATTTTGACATACAGAGAACTGAAGGATAACATTTCTTGTTTAGGAACGTCACCAGCTGCAAAAACAACTTGAACTAAATGAAAGACAAATATCTGGAGCAAAATCTGAAAACAACTGTGACAGTGAAAGGTGAGATATGTCTTGTCTGTGGAAATTCTAGTATTGCTAGGAAACGTTAGGGGTAGATTGGTTTGGTAAGTTGGTTTTGAAGACATCTGAATTTTATTTTTTCTAATTTTAAAACTGCAGTCTGGTAGGGGTTGTCCATCTGAATATAAGTTTATTTACATACAAAATATCAAGAGGATTAATTTTTGCAACAAAAACCACTTTCGTGCATCTTTCTTGAAAAGTTGTTAGCAAGTATGCAGAGTACATTTTAGGTGGAACAAGTTGTGATGTATTTGTGGATTGCATTTTTCTTAAATCTGCATTCCCAAATTCAGCACAGTATGATTCTCACTATGAATGCTTTGATTATCTCCTTCTAGAGAGAACTGCTCAACACAGTTCTAAAAGAAAAGACAGTCTGTATCCTGTATTAAGCTGTAAGACATCCCCTTTGAAAAGAACTCTTGAAGAGAGCAAGAGTTTTTCATTTAACTGCCAGAGGCCTCTTTTCTTGTATAAAAGAGGGAAAGCAGGGGAATATATTCGAGGCTTGGAGGTGCAGGTCTACACATGAGGTACACATTAACATATGCACATGAACAAAATGAAGGTGTGGAAGAAATTTGTCATGTAGCATCACAGTGCAGAAATAAGCTATGAAGTTATTTGGGGAAAGTGAGGGTCATGTTTTTGGCAGTGAGACCTCTGTGAATGGTTGTCCTCAAAAGCATGAGGCTTGGAAGAAAGGTCTGGTGGTGTGGTGGCACCTGGATGTGCTGTTTCTGCCCACAGGTGGCATGTGCATCCATTACTACTTCTTTGAGACTGACAGAGCACCATGACCAGGCAGAAGAAAGCTTCAAGCAAAGCCAGAGACAAAGTTTGAAGAGAAGTCTATCCAGCACTGAAATAGTGTAACTGCCATTGGAGTGAAAATTGCATCTGCCACTCAAAGGTTTATATGACACTACTTGAGTGGGTAAAGATGATTTATAAGCAGAGACTGAAAAATTGTACTTGATTACTACTTATATTTCTGTGGCACCCAGAAATTCAGTTTTAAGGTTTTGGTATCCCACTGTTCTTTAGGAAGCATAATCATAAAGGGAGGTCCCTGCTGAGACCTTCTCATTGCCTAATTGTATTGATCTGAGACCAGCTTATCCAGTTTCAGGGTAATAACAGCTTTTCACAACAGCCTGTTAAAATAATAATTTGAAGTGAATCGATGCCACATAAAACATAGAATATGGAGATGAAAGATAATTGCTTTCTTCCTTTACCTTTGGATAACAGACACTCTTCTCACTTCAGTGAATCCTGCCCTGTCCACTCAGCATGAAAAGTTATGCTGCAGTAAAAAGGGTAAAGGCAATATTCAGACAGGAGTTTGTGCAATGCAAGCAAGCACACACCTGTAATCTATACAATACAAGCAATGAATCTGTGTTCAGATGTTCCTAAGTTTTCTTTACCTGTTTGTACCCAGCCAGACACTTGAGCTCCACCTGAGGAAGGACCTCTGTTCCATTGCTATCAGTGCTTAAAATTCTGAATCTTTCAATGAGAGACCACATATGTGTTACAATCGCAATCAAAATGTAAATTGCGGGTTTGTGAGATCTTAATATGCAGGATTGAAAAACCTGCAGCAATGCCTTGATTTTTTGAGTCCTTGTCAAAGTGCTGCAGTTACAGTTCTGTAGAGTACTTCACTGCTAGAGACTCTTTCTGGCGGGGAAACAGCATACAATTCAGTCATTCATTGGAATCATGTCATACAGTTTGCCATCTGCTGCTTTGCCTTAGAATGGTTGTTCTGTTTGCAACTTCAACAGTTTCTTCTGTTGTGCACAGACCAAGATGAAAAGAGCCTTTTTGGTTTGATTCCCTTCCTCCACTTCTCAAATTCTGTCCGGTCCTGAACCTAGGAGTACAGAAGTTTATTTTCTAAGCAAGCAATTGCTTTCTTTGAAGAATTTCAAGAATTGTACCTTCAGATTAAAATGGAGGCTCCCACGGCCAACATGCCAAAAACTTATTAACAAGCTTCCCTCCTGTTTCTTTGCATATTCTAAAACTACTTTTCTGGCAAGCTGTCAAACCATCTTGTGGCAGGATGGTTTTTCAATTTCTGTGTTAGATTCTGCATTTCTTTAAATCTGCTTATCTAAAGAGTCGTACATACAAACTTAAAACATCCAGAACAATTCCTGCTGACTGTTGATGAGTTAATACTACTCCAGTTAGCATTCTGTTGCTGTTGGCAACTATGCCAAATCCTTGACTCAAGGCTTTCCTGTAGTAGGAGAGCTTTTAAAAGGATGTCAGCAGATGTGCTTCCTGGCTTTTATTTAGTATATATTTCCAAAAAGTTTGCAGGTGGTAATAAGTCAAGATAAATGTGTCTTTCTGGTGATAAAGATCTAGTTGTCTAAATCCCTTTCACTTCAAGGAAAAACAGACATCTTAAGGAGATGAGCGTTGTCACATTGTTTAACTGTCAGCACTTCAGGCTCTGAGTAAGCATGCCAGTATGCAAGAGAAAGGTGAGTTGACTTGGGTGGAGACAACCACTTTGTCTAAAAGACTACCATGAAAATATACTTTGGACAAATTGACATCTGTCAGTGGAATTTGATTTGCCTACCTCTTGACCTAGTCTTCCTGATTTTTGGTGGGATTGTGTGGGTTGTTCTTGTTTTGCTTATACTGCATAGCTCCCCACTTAGATGCTTAAATTCTTCCATGTTTTGCTAGGTCACAGCATTTGGAGGAGGTAGCAGCTAGTCTAAGAGAGCGAATCAAACATCTGGATGATATGGTCCACTGCCAACAGAAGAAAGTCAAGCACATGGTTGAGGAGGTGAGATCTAGTAAAACAATTCTGAGTCTTTTGGGAACACTGATTCTTTTAGTACATAATCGAAAGAAAGCTCTGTTCTGTGTGCAGTTTCCTTATGCCACCTTAGTTACAAACACAATGGAAGCATCTGGAGCTATTGAAGCAGAAAGACTAGGTGAAAGCATTTTAATCCAGTGGCTGTGGGTTATATACTGTGATCTTTAGGCTGACACTAATTCTGGAACTCCTCATCGTAGTCAAGGAAATAAAACATACAATGTGCAACTTAATTTGAAGCATTCAGAGGGTAACTGCAGAAACAACGCAGACTAGTCATTAAGGGTCTCCTTACTGTACAGAAGTGGAAGGCAAAAACTGCCCCCCCCCCCCCCCCTTTTTTTTTCTTTTTTAATGTGGTTCATCACAGAAATAGGCAGGCAAACACAGTTTTTCACCATTCATCTTTTTCACCCTGGTCTTGGGACATCACCTTGGCTGATATAATTTCCTGTAAAATTTAAGTGGCGTTCTGCTGGAAAGCTGCTTTAGGTTACAGGCTTCCTACGTGCCAGGAAAGTGTTTAGCAGTCAGAAGGTTGTGATGACAAACATTTCTGTTTCTCCAAGTGGATGAAAGAATGACACAGGAAATAGGTAAATTAAGTTTAAATTGGAGCTTTACAAAGCAGACTGACAGCACTTTTACACTAAGCCTTTCTATTGCACAGAGGATAGGCATTCATGAAATATCTTTTATTTGTATTTGGACATCACACATTCACAAAATCAAATGTTTGTAAACCATTCTAACCTAAGGCATTCTTTCTGCATTCACAATGTGCTCTTACAGGATTTCTGATTAGACATGGGGTTTTTCCATTTTTTTATCAAGGTGGTATTTATATATATCTCTCTCTCCTATATATGTATCTATATATCTCCTATACTTATATATATATATTTACCTACATCTGTTTTGTTTTGTAAGATTCTGATGTAGTCCTGCTGTATGATCAGATGTGTGATAGTAAGTGTCTTTTACACAGAGGGATGCAAAAGTATCTCTTTGCATTAAAGTTCTTCTGTCATATCATCAGTATAGAAGACTGGTATGAAGTCTTGAGGTTTTGTTTCTAGTTCAGCTTGCCATTTTCACTATTTTCAAGCATCATAGCAGGTGGTCTAAAACCGAGCTAACAATCTTTATACCGTGGTATTCTATTAAGGAAAACTTCTCCAATCTAATAATCCAGTCCATCTAATTAATGGATTATGGGAACAATTCTTTAATCTGTTTTGTATCTCTCCAAGCCAACCGTCATACTATGAGCTTCTTTTTGTTTTAACCAAAAGTTCTAAAGGACTTGTCACTTTGTGATTCATGTGGCAACCCAGATGATTCTAGTAATATGTAAGAGGATGGTGGGCTAAACTTTGTCCTTTATTACTAAATTTATTTTAAACTGCTCAATGTAACCTGACCTCTAGTGGGCTGCATTGGTATAACAAATACTATCAGTTCCATGGGGTATTTTTGCAAAAACACGTATAAAGCTTGGATCATGATTATTATTTCATAAATATTAGGTTTAATGAGTGAGTTTAGCTTGCTGATTCCTTGTAATGTATGTGTGCTGGTACCTTCATATACATAGAAAGCCCTTCTAGATCTTTTGGTTATCCTGTTTAACAAGTAGAATGTTAGGTGACCAACTCACTACTTACCTGTCAATATGTCTACTTTTTATTGATGTCTGACTACCTGCTTTTCAAAATCAATTAAATCTCTGTACAAATTCTTGACTGCCATGTATCCATAGGGAATATGTTTTTGCTCTCTCATTTGGTCCCTGTGTGTCTTAATTTTTCTTTTAATTCAGTTTCCTTGAGAACTGCATGAACACCTGTAGCTACATCTGTATTTTCATTAGTGAGCTAACTAAAGACTCCTGTAACAGAGGTTTGATCAGGTCAGATGGTACCAAATACATTAGGCACTTAATGCTTTTTTAATTTTATGCTATCTGTGGTTTATGTTTGCACTGTGTTTGAGGAAATATCTATGATATAGTTGGCGTGCACTATTTTAAACTGGATTCTTTTAAATAAAGGCCTAAAAATAGCAGCTTTAATAGTACAGAGAAGAGTAGCTGTCCACCATGGGGGAAGATAAAAAGCATTGCAGATGTGTATGCCCTGAGCTATCCATACATGTGGTAGTTTGCATGATTTTGTGCTCTTCTCTACGTAAATATTAGAAAAGTATTTTTAGGCTCACTTTAAGCAACACTTACTAACTATGCCAGAAGCTGAAAAATCAGCAACAAAAATACTTCTTAAAAGGTAGGCTGTTGAAAAGGAATGCTATCTGAAGAGTCTGTTCTCGAGTTAAGTTAAAAACTAGTGAGCAGCAGTACTAAACTTACTTTCTAGAGTAAATAGAGAAGATTTTGTAATTGCACTACTATTTAAGTCCCAGAAAATGTGTTCATTGCATATTTGAATGCAAGTCCTCACTACATTAAATTTAACCGAATGCAGACTGTAACAGCTAGGGATATTTAGAAAAGCGTTATGAAAACCTGCCGTGTTACTCGTTATTGCAATACTTTCATGGCTGGTATCTGTAAAGTAACATTCCATCTTAGGGTTTATGAGGGTATTATAATGATCAATAACTTGCATTTAAATCATATAATTGAGAAAGACAGAATGAACAAAGCAGCTAGAAAGCCTGCTTTCTGAAATGCTTAGCTTCTTTGTTGCATGAGAATAGACTGAGAACAGGCCAACCTGGGAAACTGAGAAGTGGAAAGAAAGTGAATAGTCAAAATTATGAACAGTGCTTTTGTTAGAAGCTGAAACAAAGATACTGTATGAACTAGGTGAGAATGATGGCTAAGCCTATACTTGCTTGACTACAGGATGAACTTTATTTAGTGTTAATCTTGGTATATTCGGACACAGATCTGAAGTATAAATGAGGGGTTTATTCTTTCAGTGTAAACCACAACGGGTTTCATCTCCAATTTAGACAAAGTGCAGCTACAGAAATGAACATCATTTCAAAGGGGTGTTGAACAAACAAGATATGCTGCTTCAAACTCATATGGAGAACTGTCAAAATCGAACAAGTACTCAATGATGAATCTGCTGGCTGAAAAATCACAAAATAGATTGCTCTTCAGGCCTTTTTAGGGAAAATTAGTGAATCATTTGCAAGTGACAGATACAGGGCATTCTGTAAAAGAACAGCAAGCAGTCAGGAGGAAGTGAAAGAGAAGCTTTATAGTGGAGTTTTGTAATGCAGTAGGTAGCTCTAACACCTCCAGTGCTGTTTTGATGGCATTTAAAAATGTGTTAGGAGGCTGTGGTCAGTCCTAATCTAGGCATGCATGAAAGGGGATGCTGGCAGAGAAGGAACAAATGTAAGAGGCCATGGAGAAAAAGAGTATTAAAGCCTTCGTTTTCATAGGACCCACCTTGTTGGTACTGAACGCAGTAGATACATGACCTATGGAATTTAGGCCAGGCAGAGGACAATCACAGTTCAGTGTGTTTATACTCCTTAGCGAAGAAACCATTTGCTTCTATATTTTTTTCCTCTGAAAAGAAATACTTCTATCTCAGGCATTAATAGAACCTTTTTCAACTTGACCTAGTCAGACCAGTCATAAATTAAATAGGAGCATGGAAAACAACTTTCAGAAGAAAATAAATGGAAGAAATAAAATGGGCATTTGCTGGAGTCGGTGACCTTCAACATCTCTGTGTGCTAGATCACAGACACACACACATTTTTCAGCCTCGTAGGGATTCTCTGCTGTGATAGCTAAGATCTCAGCCCATTAGAGCACCAGCTGATCAGAAAGTTATCCTGCATAGTCTTAAAGCCTCATGTTCTCATTAGAGAGAGATTGCAGCTTATTTAAGGCTGACAGATTTATCCCTGTGTTGAACTTGTTTGTTAAATAAACCTATTTGTTCCCAGCTTAGTGCAGTACATTTTACATGAAGTGCTGGCAGTTGAAAGAGCAGGACCTGCATTTGGCAGGTGTGTAGAAACCTAGCCCTTTTCTCATACTATTTGTACATATCAGGCTTTCAAAAAACAGAGTGAGAAGAGACAGGTGGGCAGAGTGGGTCACCTAGAGCTCAGTGGTGAAGTCAGTGAACATTAGTAATGGTAGACTTGATTAGCTTTTTTGTTTATTTGTTTTTAGCCCTTGCCTTTGTAGCCATCTTAAAGTACGGCTGGGCAGCGAGAGACTTTCAAAGACAATCCAGGAAAAAGCCAGTTTGATCAGAGGAAGAATTTGCAGGGAGACTCACAGCTTGGAAGGTGGAAGCATGCAAACTTCAGGGCCTTCCACTAAGGAGTTTCCAACGCAGAGACTGAATTGGGCAGCCAGATGCAGGCACAGAGGCACTATGGGAGGGCATGGGAAGCTGCTACCACATTGTTTCTTTCAGGGTTGACATTGCTGCTGTTCTGCGAGAGGGCTGAAAGCTTGTCTTTTAAGTTATCTGTTCGATATGGTCAGTTTATCCTGTCTGTGCCAGTGTAGGAGACGGGAGAGAGTTTAGTGTAAGATAAAGCTAAAAGTCTTCAAATGAAATACAAAACATTGATTTTTAAATCATCAGCAGTATTTCCTGGCTTGATCTCAATTTAAAACCTGGAGAGATTTAAGAGAGTTTTACTTTTGAGATTTGTGCAATTGACATTGAAATGGATTGCAGTTTCATGGCACAATAAGTTTATTTTATATGTATTACTGTTTCATTGTTGAGAAGCAGGAGAGGGAAGGAAACAAGCATTTACATTTTGTAAGCAAGGCGAGTGGGTTCATGCAGCTATAGGGAGTTGTTCTGAAGAGGACTGAGATGAGAAAAGGATATTTTATTCCATGCCAAGAAATTATCTACAGAACTCACATTTCACATGAAATTCCCCTAACTACTGAATTGAACTGTCTCTAGGTCATGGCCCATGAGCTGTTCTCCAGCTTTAGTCTCAGA